TTGAACTATGGCGTTTTGGTTGGGCTAAGCCTTTGAAGCTTGAAATCATTTGTATTATACCTTGTGCCTCTGCCGAAATGCTCTCCACTTCCACCTCCGCCATGGCTCACACGCGAGTTGCTGCAAGGCTTTGTTGGCCACACACAACGGAAATGAGGGGCATGGTGCTGCAAGGGCCATGTGGCATGGTGTCGAGCTGCGCCCGGCGACCGATGAGCTGCGATAGTCACCGCGGCAAGCTAGGGAACTGTGCTGGCATTTGCTGCAACCGTTGGCAACGAAAGGCTTCAACGGTATAAGGGAAAGTTTCAACCGGGCACTGCACAATGAAAAAGCTACAAACGTTGACAGGAAAAACTTCAACTGTATATGAAAAAAGTTACAACCGTCGATGGACAAAGCTTCAACTTGGGCACCGGGCAAGAAAAAAGCTACAACCGTTAATACAAAAAGCTTCAACCGTATATGACAAAAGTTTCAACCATTGCAATGAAAGCTTCAACTCCATACGTGAAAAGTTTCAACCATTGCAATGAAAGCTTCAACTCCATACGTGAAAAGTTTCAACATTTTTGCAATGAAAGGCTTCAACCATTGCAATGAAAAGCTTCAACTCCATGCGTGAAAGGTTTCAATCGGCATTTGAGAAAGCTCCAACTGGGCACAACGAAATGGCAAAACTTCAACCATTTTTCCCGACTGAAAGGATCGATATAGTTGACTAGAGGGGGGGGGGGTGAATAGGCAACTACCAATTTTTAGCTTTTCTTTGCCAAATTAAACTTTGCGTCAAAGTAGGTTGTCTAGATATGCAACTAGGTGAGCAACCTATATGATGCAACAACAGTAAGTACACAAGCAAGCAAAGGATATAACACAATATAGCTACCACAAGTAAAGGTGAGAGATAACCAAAAGTGGAACCGATGGAGACGAGGATGTGTTACCAAGTTCCTTCCCTTTGAGGGGAAGTATGTCTCCATTGGAGCGGTGTGGAGGCACAATGCTCCACAAGAAGCCACTAGGGCCACCATCTTCTCCTCACGCCCTCACACAATGCGAGATGCCGCGATTCCACTATTGGTGCCCTTGAAGGCGGCAACCGGATCTTTACAAACAAGGTTGGGGCTCTCTCCACAACTTAATTGGAGGCTCCCAACGAAACCCCGGAGCTTCACCACAATGAAATGTGGCTCCGAAGTGGCCTCTTCCGACTAGGGTGCCCAAGCACCTAAGAGTAACAAAATCCACACAAGAAAGTATGGGGGAATCAAGTTTCCTTTGGTGAGAGTGTAGATCTAGGTCTCCTCCTTCAGTCCCTAGCAAATCAACAAGTTTGACTGGCTAGAGAGAGAGATCGGGCAAGAAAGCTTCAAGGGCATTAATGGAGGAGAGAGAGAGAAGCAAGAGATAGGTGGGAGGTGGGAGAAGCACCTCCTTAAATAGGGTCCCCCCAGATCCAACCGTTATGTGCAGAAACACATGGGAGCGGTACTTCCGCAAGGGTCACCGGTACAACCGGTGAATGCGGGAAACCCCTGCTAGGGCACCAGGGCGGTACTTCCGGTGGGGCAACCGATAATACCGGTATATCGGAATAAACCGGAACTACCGTTCCACCACCGCTACCCAATCAGAAGGTTTTCACCCTAGACCGGTAGTTAGAGCGGTGGTAGGGCCGGAGCTACCGCTGGACCAGCAATTCCTGGGCGGTGGAGTTTCAAGCGGTACTACCGCCCTGAACACCGGTAGTATCGGTTGGTCAAGACAAACCGGAACTACCGTTCCACCACCGGTCTACCATCGTACCCGGTACAGAAGGGTGTCACCCCTCAGCGGTACTTGGAGCGGTGGTTTGACCGGAACTTCATGCCAGCGGTACAACCGCTCAAGAGAGCGGTACTACCGCCATGGGCACAACTGCACAGTCATAGAGGACTTTGGGAACCTCTCTCTCCTGAAATGGAGGGTATATGGTGGGTGCAAAGAATGTGTACGTGTAGAGATTCACCCAATACCTTCCGATGTGGATTCCCTCTTAAAGAT